CTACTCAATATTATAAGCTTGGTGGAAAAACCTAGTCTTCTTTGGTTTCTTAATCGCTAATTTCAAAGGTTGGTGCTTGTGGTCCTTTGTTAACTATTCTAAAAATGTAAGTTGCACCTTTCATCTGTCGTACAACCATAGACGGATGATGACAAAATGATTATATATCAGGGTAATAAACACAACATAAAAGAAACAACCCATCCCTAATGCCTCCAATGATTAAAGTCTCAACGTCACTCATTTATAAAATTCATACATGTTATATTTTTGTTAAGAGCTTGTTTGGTATAGCTATTAATCTAATTAAAATCAATTTTTTGACCGTTATTTCACTATTTCAATCGTCATTTTTGAATTTTTCTCTCATAGATAGGACCCAATTTATTTCTAACAGTCAAAAAATCAATTATCAAAATCTCTACCAAACAAGCACTATAATATAAAAAGAGTGTGCATATTGTGCTAAAAACAGAACATAAATATAAATTTCTCTCATATCCAGTAAGTAGAGATGAAAAAGCTTGTGGGGCAAGCATCGCTCTAAAGCCCAAGTGGACCATCTATGCCTAGGAACGGAAAAATCCACCCACTCGGAACCCCACGGTGTCCCACCCTAGGGGAGTGGGTTTCCTTGATTAATGGCGTTATTGAGGCGGAAGTGCAGTAGGGGGTTTCTCCCCAAGTCAGGGACGGGAGACATGGGCCCACCTTGAGCATGCGAGACTTATTTATATTGACCTCATTTTGCTATACAGACAAGGAGGAGTTGACAGTCTCCCTGACCAAATAGTCACAATAAGGGGGTGGAGGCTACTTTTTTTGGAATTTTTCTTTCATGTAGGTCCCACACGTCAAGACTTCTGTCAACAATTTTTGGTCAACTCAGCTTAGTTTATCCTGATCGGGCCCTACATCCCCTTAAGCTAGGATGGTTAAAAGACAAGAAGGTTCTTGCTCAATCCCGTTACCATCTCTATTTATGCAAGCGGCTCTCTCTCTCTCTCTTTACCTAAAAATATAACATGAAAAACCAAGAAAACACATACTTAGACCCAATGACCCATCAAAAGGCATGTCAAGTCAACTTATGTTATCCATTTATTAGCAACTTAAATTTTTAAATAAGTTTGACTCATTAAAAATCCCGTTATTAGTTAAGAATATCCCTTCGATGCAATTGACAATTACATGTCATTTCCTTTGCAAGTCTTGTTAACATGACTGAAATATTTATTGCAGGTGTCGACAAAATATTCGACGTTTCCAAAATATCTCGCAACAAAGGGATTGACAAACGAGAAGCCTATGCTTCGATTCTCCATTCCTCGGAAACCTACGTTTGTGGTGCAATAATCTTAGCCCAAAGTCTCCTCCGAACCGGAACCAAACGCGACCTAATCCTCCTCCTTGACAAATCGATATCCGAATCCAAAAGAGCCGCTCTTACCCGTGCCGGGTGGAAGCTCCGATTCATCAAACGGATACGAAACCCAAAGGCCGAGAGATACACCTACAACGAATACAATTACAGCAAGTTCCGTCTATGGCAGCTCACCGATTACGATAAAATCATATTCATAGATTCAGATATCATTGTATTACGTAATTTGGATATCGTATTCAATTTCCCCCAAATGTCAGCCACTGGGAACGATGGATCCATATTCAATTCGGGTATAATGTTGATCGAGCCTTCGAATTGCACATTCAAGATGTTGATGCGACATCGTAAAGACATCATCTCCTACAACGGCGGCGACCAGGGATTTCTCAACGAAGTGTTCGTCTGGTGGCATCGATTGCCGAGAAGAGTCAATTTTCTGAAAAATTTCTGGTCCAACAGTTCGATCGAGGCCAGTGTGAAGAACCAGCTATTCGGGTCGGATCCTCCGAAGCTCTATTCGATACATTATCTAGGGTTAAAGCCATGGCAATGTTACAGGGATTATGATTGTAATTGGGACTTACAAATTCAGCAAGTGTACGCCAGTGACGTCGCGCACGTGCGGTGGTGGAAACTGCATGATATCATGGACCAAAGCTTGCAGGAATTTTGTGGTTTAACAAAGAAGAGGAAGATTGAATTGGAATGGGATAGGATGAAAGCAAGAAAAATGAGATTACATGATGAACATTGGAGAATCAATGTTACTGATCCAAGAAGATATATTTGAATTCGGATTCTTTTCCGTTGTTCTTGACGTCCTGTTAATGTTGTTCGTAGTGTTTTGGACAGAGAAATTTATACGGGATTTGTTGTTGTCATAATTTATGTGTTATAATTTTAGAAATTTGTTTTTTTTTTAATACATAAGAGATGTTTATCGACACTTCTTATTGAGAAAGATTTTCTTATTAATATATATCGTTAAATCAAACTTAATGGAATCGTGATATTTAGCTCGAGACTTGAAGGTGTGAAATGGAAGTTATTGATTGATAGTCACTCGACTAGTCACTCGACTATGTGCACCGGAAAGGATAGCCACAATTAAGACTTGACATCTAAACAATTTTAAAGTACAAAAATATTGATATCAAGATAGTGACTTTAGAACTCAGATATAATTAAAATAATCAAATATGGATATGTAGAAGAAATTATACTATACATATTTAAACTAAAACATGCTATTACGCGCATTAGACATCATTCTCTTTCAAATTCAAATACTTTTATCCTCACATTTTGTCTTTAACATTATGGCCCTGTTTGGGAGTGATTTTTCACCCAAAAAAATTGATTTTTTGACCATTATTTCATTATTTCAGCTATAATTTTTGACTTATTTTCTCACAAGTGGATCTCACTTTTTTCCTAACGGTCAAAAAATCCCTAATGAACATGCCCTATATTAATCGTGTTGTTATGTCCAACGATCAAGATAAGATATGCTGTTTCAATTCCAAAGTTTAGATATATTGAGATCAATGCCTAATCTAGTTATTAAAGTATCAATTACTTGCACGTAAATGTCCTAAATTTAAAGCTTGAATATAGTTGCCGGAAGAGTAAATTCGCAAGTTCTATGGCATTCAATAATTATTAGCTGCCTGAATTTTGGCTTTACTTTCAGGTAGAGTTAGCCTATAGATGTTGACAATAACTAAGCAAAACATTAATTGGAGAAATGATAAATGATTTGTTGGAGGCGAGAAATGGAAATGATAATGAAAGGAATTGAAAACAAAAAGTATTAGTTGAGCAAACCAATTAATTAGGTATACCTAAAAAGCAAAAAAAATAATAAAATAAATAAAAATAAATAAAAATAAAAATGTTAGCATATGATGAATCAAATAGATTTGAAGAAAAATTAATGCAAGTATTTTAACATTCTTTCACGTAATTGTTAATGGAAAAAGTTATGAGTACAGGTGATTACAGATGTTTGGATTGTTTTTTTATTTTCTTTTTCCATCTTTAATCAATTCTCGCCATGTATTGTTTGTTCTATACTTATAGCATGATTGAATTGTTAATATCATTTCATGAACACTTGCAGCTCATGTAGAGCCACGTGAATGCCATGATTGACTTGATGATCAAGCCAATGGAGTGTCCATGTCATCACATCCTCCCATTTGACAAAAATGAAATGAAAGTCAATTTGCACCTTCACAACCTCTAGAAGTCGCATAACTTACTAAATAACTCGAAAAGTCTTGGCGTAGTTTCATCTAAAGTCAAAAGCGGGCCTCCCAACCATTATCACCTCATGGCATTATAAGAAGCCATGGGCTCAATTTGATAAGAATGTATCATGTACGAGGTGAGTCTCCCAAAGTGGACTTTGATTGGTATTTCCCCTGGTATGGTCTTCCTCGTCACAACGACATTTGGTATGGACTATATGAGCTCTTAGTAGTTTACTAGATAAATTAATAAGTCTAGCATTCAACAACTATTAGATTGGTTGAACAAAGAAAAGTTTTTTCCTCTCCAACATATGGTTCAACCAGTAATTGAATTAGGGGTGGACGCAGAAATTTTACATTAGAGGGTCACAATCAAATTTTTAGAAAAAGCGACGAAATTTTTTTATTACTTTATGTGGGTTATAAACTCTTATACTACTTTTTCAACTTAATTATTTTTACATATAAAAAATTTATATATATATAAAAAATTCGATCATTTTTAGGATTTTTTATTATTGTTACTTTTTGCTTTCAATCAATTATTTTTTTTTTAAAAAAATAATCTAATAAATTTCCTAATAAATTTTTGACGTCATTTGAAAAAAAATTTAATTAATCGAAAGGAAAATGTAACAATAATAAAAAAAAAAAATCCTAAAATTGATTCAATTTTTTTATATATAAAATTTTTTTCAGATATAAAAATAATCAAAATGAAAAAGTAGTATAACAATTTAAAACTCCTGTGAATTAAAAAGAATTTTATTAAGAATTTTTACGTCCAAAAAAATAAATTTTGACGTCATACCTATATGAATTTTCCTAATAAAATGATGTAAATTATATTGAGAAATTTGTCGCACAAAAATAATAAATATTAATGAAATAATTAATTTTTTTTCAAAAAAGACAAGTTATACGTCTCTTTTTAGCATACACGTTTGACGTACGTTTAACTATTTTCGATATTCATTTAGATCATTCAATGTGTTTATGATATAATTTTCGAAATGAGTTTCGAGAAAATATAGAAGATTTATGGATATGGCTAGCGTATAATCGTCGAATTTTTTTTAAAACTAGCTTGTTATCGAAATTCTCAAAATATTTAGTTTGGAACAACCTATTTTGACACGCCATAACATTTGCTACCATTGGTCATTTCGCACAACATTCACGACGTAAAATACTAGGCCGTGAGTACGTCAAAATGATATAAAAAAATATAATATTTCAATTTCGTTTGATATTTCATAATAAGCCCGCCAAAAAAAAAATAAAAAAAGGAAAAAGCTGGAGGGTCAAGTGACGAGTAAAATGTTTCAATAATCATCAAACTTAGCACAATGCCATAATGTGGTCACTGAACTTTCATTTGCTGCTCAACGGTCACTGAACTTACAAACACACCACTCTATCCATTACCCATTGCCCCAGCCGTTTGAACCCGTCTCATGTGGCTTGACGGCAGGCGACGTGGTTGTCGACGGCGTCAAGCTCGGCCATGGTGGATGCGATTTGACAGCCAAAACAAGATCCTCTTCACCATTTCCCAATCCATAAGTCTCTCATCCCTAATTTGAACACACAGCCCTAGATTGATTTCCTTCAAAATCCTCCCCCAAATCGATTCTTCCACACTTGGTGAAATTGGCAGATCTTCATCGCCTTCACAGTTACATTAGACGTAGGTCGTCTCGTCATCCTCGTCTTCCTCGCAACTACATACTGATTGTGCACACGAACCCACATACTGGCAGGTGAAAGTTTTCAAAATGCGAAAGAGGTGAAGAATTAACATCCTGAACTTCCATGTAATGGTCTGAATGTGAATTTATTGCCTGGTTTGAGAATGAACAATTTTTTATGTTGGAAGTTGAAGTTGATTGGCAATCTATTGCTAGCATATGAAATACAACAATATGAAATACATTGAACAGCCGGCCCCCTTTTTTGTAATGTTATTGAATTATATTCAGAGAATTTTGATCTCTAAGGGAGCTACTACTGATAATCATTCTGTATTGTTGGTATCCAAACATGCTCTTTAAGCTTATACTGCTATCTTGATTGAGTGTAAATGTTTTTTTTATACAAAAACATGTTTGGATTGAATTTGAAACATACCTTTGGTAACTAGTTCTTTTTCCTGCCCCTGTTTGGGTACACTTTTAGCATATTATATATGTTTTGGTGTTGTGTCTTGGTGTATATGGTGTTCTGTAGTAAATGGTTATTCCCAGATTATACAATGCCTGAAAAATAATTCAGTTACTGCAGCAAATATTATACTGGATCCTGCCATTTTCAACCGAAAAATAATTCTGAGATTATCTTTCATTTTCAACTCTATTGAATTTATTGAAATTGGAAGTTGAAAATGAAGTGACTTTATTATTTTCTGGGTTTTCATTCTTACATCTTGCCATTAACATTTAACCAAGTGGAAATATTATTTTTAACATTTAGATGTAGCAGATATTCTTTTCCATGACTGATCAATGATATGTTTACTGAGAGACTGTAGTGGATGCCCAGTTATACATTACCTTTGCTTATTTTTTTATTTTTTATAATGTTGGGTATAATGGTCTAATGCATTTAGTTTGTATTCCAGGGTAAACTGGTCTCATCCAGAGGTAAGGGACCTGCTTCGACCCAAAACCCAGTTGAAGAACAACCCATGCAGTTCATGCCTACCCTGATGGTTGGAAGATCCATGCACAGGCAGAAGACAAAATGAAGAAAATGATCGCATGGACTGATTTTGTAAACATCAACGCATGGACTGATTTTGTAAACATCAACGCATGGACTGATTGTGTAAACATCAATGTGGATATGGGATTTAAAGTATATTGTAGTTTTTGTTTTGTGAACAAGGATGTTAACCTTTTGCTGTTAGAACAGTATATAATTCTTTGCAGTTTTTTAAGTTTTTCAATGGAAGATGCACATTTACATGTCACGACTTTATCTTCTGTGGACTCCCAGAAAATAAGGATAAAACTTCTTGGCTAGGCCTTGGACGTCCAACACGCCCCAGAAAATAAAGCTACTTACCTAAATCTGATTACAAAATAAATCCCAAAAAATCTTTCACTAATACATGTGATTTCAACAACTGGACAGGTAATGTGGGTATACAAAAATTGTCCTGTCAAAAGTTTAAAATGTACAGCCGGCACCAAACTTAGAAGTTCTAAATAACAGGAATATTGCCATGGACAAAAACCAGTGTATTTCATTGATATCCCATCATCAAAAGGCCTACACCCAATTCACAATACCTTGTCAAAAGTTTAAAATTTACAGCCAGCAACAAACTTACAAAAGACTACAAAATTCATTGGAGGACATCTAAAATACATTAACAAAACATATAGACTCCAAATGAGATGTCAAAAGAAAGTTTTACAAACATGCAACACTTCGCTCTCATTACAAGACACCAATTGTGAATCAAAAGAAAGGCTCTAATATCTGCTGACATTTAACATACAAAACAAAAATTTGCCAATTTCAATTGACAAAATCTTCACAGCAAATGAGCCCCAAGAAGCTGCCATTCGGTTCAATTATTAATCAGCTATTCTGTTCAATTGACAAAATCTTCACAACATTTGATGTTCTTCACACACTTTATCGCTCGGTGATCCCTTCCCTCTTGCACCTATCAGTTTATCCTATAAAATCAAACAAACAAAATCGACCCATAATGTATAATATAGAATAGATTTCATGCAGAAATTAAAAGTACTCAGTTGATGTGTACAGAAATTATACAATGTAATCAGCAACATAATAATGTCTGCAACGCTAATTCAATAATGTCCTATCACAACTACGACTATCAGTTCATTTTCAGACCCAAACAAAATTAAACAATGACCAGCATATCATTTTGAGCATTCTCTAACAAGATGAATTAATGGAGACCAATTCATTTTCAGCATCCAATTTAAAAAATGCTTAGAGGATGAACCCAAATTCAGAGTGCTTTCAATGAGAAATTATTCAAACAACCTGAACGAACAAAAATCTCACAATTCTAGTCGATTTTATGCAGCTAGCTAATTTGAACAAAAATTCGATCATTCAAGAGTGTCAATTACATATTCTTCACACCAATTAATGAGAATTAAGGAGACAGGTCAACAAAAAACTTGAAAATTTTGTTGCCTTTTTATACATTATGTATCCTGACTGTTTGAGTAGGAAAAAAGACTAAGCATAATATAATGAGCTTGTGAAAGAAAATTTTCAGTACTATTACTTACCGACAGTATCATAAATTGAAGGGAATCGTGATATAGTTATGAGATTAGACCTTATCGTTTGATTTTTTATTTTTCTTAAAAAAAAAGGTAAATATGTAAGTGTATTGAGTTGATTTGGTTAATCGACGGGTTGAGACTTCAAATCATGATCAGACTAAACCACCATGATTTTATTTAAACAAAAATGTCAAATCGGACCGAGTCGAATTGGAATGATCGATTTTTCGATTTTTTTTGCCCAGGTCTAATGACGCTACACCATGTCATAAAAAAGTTAAAATAACAAAAAAAACTAGCATTTTTTACTTTTTTATTTTAAAGTTATTGCAATAACACTCGTTTTACTATTTTTGTTTCACAAGTGTCACACGATAGTTAAGTGGAAAATCAATCACGGTATTTCTGTCGTCCATATAAATTTCTTTGGTTAAGGCACAATAGGTGATGGAATGAAACAAAGTGCTGAAATGTAAAACAAATTTAAAGTTTTGGGACCCAATTGATATTTGACTGGAAGTCCAGTGACCATTGCATGAAATTTACCCGCTAAAATGTGATGAAGGAAAGGCCACCCACATTTGCATTCTAACCATTGAATTCAACATCGCTGCTTCATGTAAGTTATGAACCACAATTTTTTATTTTTTGAAAAAATTGGAAAAATCAGATATATTCTTGACCCAAAAAAGAGAAGCCAATCCTTGAAATATAAACTCAAAAGCTGAAACGAAGTTACGCCAATGAATTTATCAAAGAATGTACGTGTATACAGAAATATGTATTTACACGCATATATTGATATTTCTTTATTAGTATTTTGAATTTTAATTTTCTGTTTTTGGGCAGTGAATGAAGCTGGGAAATAGTAGAAACCCATAATATTCTTTCGCTTCTGATGATTCTTTGGTACATTCATTTCTCTCATCTTTGAATTATTGTAATTGTTTCAATATTTGATCAATTAAGTTGTTTTTGTTCTTATTTTCGATTTCTTGAATTTTTAAATGAATGTTCATTCAATTGTATTAAGATTCTGTAAATTTGGATAAAAATGTAAAATAAATCATCAATTCAGATGTCCCAAGTGTTGTGTTTTGGAGGTGGGATTTGTTAGAAGACAAGATTTAGATAAATAATTTTGTAGCACGTAAACTTGGAGACGACGTGGTTTAATAAGATTTCAAACCAGGCTGAGGTTCGAGATTCAAATCTTGCCATTACCCTTTTGTTAAAGTTGTAGATGTGCTAGTCCTTGACGAAAAATGAATCAAACTTTCAAGGAGTTCAGGCGTATACAAATTTCTTTTCCTCTCTAACATATTAATATTTTAAATGAGGTGGTTTAATGGTAGAATCGAGGAAGGATAAAAATTTGAGAAGCTGATGCATCTGTCTGTATACTGCTTCTTGAATTCATAGGCTGCTTGTATTTTGGAGAGCAGTTAAATTAAATTGATTTTATTAAATTTCCGTATGTTGTCAAATGAATTCAATTTTAAGATGTTGCTGGTTGCATATGTAGGTAGAATGGGGTGATTGATAATGACATCTTATTATTATTTTTGGACCTTGATTCACATTTTTAGTAAGCTTCTCATTGATGTCAATTACTAGTTATCCGCAACTTGGATAAAGTACACACTTTGTTGAACTACGTTATTTAGGGATGTCAATGAGTTTGAACCACAGGTAGGCTCATGAGAGTTTGGCCCGTGGGCGGCTCGAGCTCACATTAAACCAAGCTCAGATTCTGGCCAAGCAAACCAAGCCGAGCACAGGGTAGTAGACTCATGGGCTTTACAAGCCAGACCAGCCCTATGGACGATTTTCTTCTATAAATAGAAGAAAATTTGGAACTAAACTGAGTTTGATACGGAAAATAATAATAATAATAAGACTGAACGGCTCGGAGGCTGGCTCTGCTGCCTCCGCTAACTTTATCTAGAAGCTAAAATCCAAGGAGACGTGAATAATTTTCATATATTGGTGGAGTTAGATGCTATTCATCATGATGCTTCTGACTTACATGTGTTTCAATGCTTTTCACCAGGAATCTGTCATTTACACTAATAGTTACTCTATAACTTCGTGAAAAAAGAGAAGATGATTCACATTACCTTTAGTTGATCTTTATTTCTTATCACTGTTATCAACTCCACTTACTTTATTTTATTTTTATACTTTTCTTCTGAGGGATGATAAAAGATAATACATTTTTTACTTCAGCTAATTTTTTATGTACTCTTTCTGGTTCCTTGACCAGGTCACTTGGCTCTGCTTAGGATATTATCAGAATGCAGGAAACTAAAGATTTTAAAGACAATGTTCCTCTTGAGTTTTCTGTCGCACCTGTATTTTCCCATTCAGACAATTTTATTTTTATACTTTTCTTCTGAGGGATGATAAAAGATAATACATTTTTTACTTCAGCTAATTTTTTATGTACTCTTTCTGGTTCCTTGACCAGGTCACTTGGCTCTGCTTAGGATATTATCAGAATGCAGGAAACTAAAGATTTTAAAGACAATGTTCCTCTTGAGTTTTCTGTCGCACCTGTATTTTCCCATTCAGACAAGGATCAATCGTCAAGTATAATGGAAGCAAAGCTCAATGACACTACAGTGCAATCATTAGATAGCGGTATCATCAATAGTCCTAGTATTCAACTAAATGATACCTCTGATGGCTCAATTGCACCATCTGGGGATTTGTATGTTCTTAAGCCTAATAAACAAGGGAATATAGAATCCAAAATTATTGCGCGGCTATCTCCAGAAGATGACGATATACCTACCATTTTATCCCCTAACCCAATTATTGCCAAAGTTCCTATGTATTTTGATAAGACGCCAATATGCACTGAGCACTCTAGACAACCTAACAACTCTGTTATGAATGGTCAAATCGATACAAAGGCACCTTTTGATTCTGTTAAGTCTGCAGTTTCAAAGTTTGGGGGAATTGTTGACTGGAAAGCCCACCGTGTGCAGACTAAGGAGGTATAATCTTCTTCAATTCTCTTAGTACATGTTTGATATCCGGTACTAGATAGGACTGGACATTATAATTAACAGGATTTTAGCTTCTTTTTTTCTTAAATGGTTTAGTAATATCCAAACCTTCCTATGAAACATGCACTTAACGTTTTATTATCTTTCTTATGTTCATAATTGAAATGGGAGTTGGATTCCAAAATTGTGGATCTTATATTTTCTCAAATTTCCGGATATTTGACTGTCTTCCAGTTTTTCAAGAAACATAAATTGGTGAAAGTTTATAAACTAATATGCAACTGTATTTTAATCTTCCTTAATGTTCGCACTTTTGTTTCCTGCAGATAATTTATCTTGCTTTACGTTGCTATTAACTGGGTTTATAGTTTTATAACCTCATAATATAGTTTTATAAGTGGGTCTTGTTGCACATGCAGAGACGAAAGTTTATAGAGCAAGAACTGGAGAAGGCACTGGAGGAGATTCCGTTGTACAAGAAACAATCCGAGGCTGCTGAAGATGCAAAATTTCAGGTTTTAAAAGAGCTCGATAGCACTGAAAGACTCGTAGAAGAGTTGAAACTTAATCTGGAAAGAGCATTTACAGAAGAACAAGAAGCAAAACAGGATTCGGAACTTGCAAAACTAAGGGTCGAAGAGTTGGAGAAAGGGATTGCTGATGAAGCCAGTTTTGCAGCCAAGGCACAGCTCGAGGTTTCCAGAGCAAGACATGCAGCTGCTGCGTCTGAGCTTAAAATTGTTAAAGATGAATTGGAACAACTACAGAAAAATTATGCATTGTTAGTGGCTGAAAAAGATGCTGCAGTCAAGAAGGCAGAAGAAACCATTTCTGCGTCAAAAGAAGTTGAAAAGTCGGTCGAGGTTTTGACAGTCGAGCTCATTACTGCAAAGGAATCTTTGGAGTCGGCACATGCAGCACATCTTGAGGCCGAGGAATGCAGAATTGGAGCAGTTATGGCAAAAGAAGAGAACACTCTGAATTGGGAGAAGGAATTGAAGAGAGCAGAGGAGGAGCTAGAGAAACTAAACGAACGTTTTTTGTTGGCGAAAGATCTCAAATTGAAGTTAGATACTGCAACAACGTTACTAGAGGATTTAAAAGCTGAATTGACAGCTTATATGGAATCGAAAATAAAGCAGGAAACTGAGGAAGGAAACTTGAGAGATGCACTGGTAAGACCAGAGAAAAAAACTCGTGATGATGTTCAAGTGGCTGCTGTTTCAGCAGAAAAGGAACTTGGAGAAGTGAAGCTCAGCATTGAGAAAGCAGCAGCTGAAGTTAGCTGCTTGAACGTGGCATCCATGGCATTGAAGTCGGAACTGGAAAAAGAAAAATCCGAACTTGCTGCCATTCAACAGAGGGAAGGAATGGCATCGATTGTGGTTGCATCTCTTGAAGCCGAGCTGAATAGGATGAAGTCAGAGATGGCTCGTGTTGGGATGGAGAAAGAAGAAAAAGAGAAGATGGTTGAACTCCCCGAGCAACTACAAGAAGCTGCTCAAGAGGTAGATGGAGCACGAGCACTTGCCCAAATGGCTCGTGAAGTACTCCAGAGGGCAAAGGGGGAAGCAGAACAAGCAAAAGCAGAAGCAAGTACTGTTAAGAGTAGACTATCAGCGGCTCTAAAGGAAATAGAAGCAGCTAAGGCATCAGAGAAGCTGGCAAGGGTTGCTATTAATGCATTGCAGGAGAGTGATTTATCTGAGAATTCACCCACCGGAATAACACTTTCTTTAGAAGAATATTACGATCTTAGCAAGCGGGCCCACGAGGCAGAAGAGCAGGCTAAAATGCGGGTGGCTGATGCCATATCCCAAATTGAGGTAGCAAAGGAGTCCGAGTCAAGGATCTTGAATAAGCTGGAGGAAGTCAATCATGAAATGGCCGAAAGAAAGGATGCACTGAAAACTGCATTGCAGCAAAATCCCCCCCGGGGGGGGGGGGGGGGATTTTAGATGCAAAATCATTAATAGATATGGATATAAAAGAAAGATGTGATCTCAGACATAATTATCGTAAAGCAAGTGATTCATGTTTTTTCTGCCAGTCTCCCTTCTATTTTATTTTTTTCCCTTTAAATTGCTCTTTTCTCACAATATTGTTTATTTTTTCAAGTTGCCATATAGCTTCTGTATGATAGGTACTGCTTTTATAAATATAGGGATTCAATCTTCTCCAAGTTTGATTATGATGGAAGTTAAATAAACCTGCATCAAGAATAATTTACCTCGAACCAAATCTGAGCAAATGTTTACAAACTAAACCCAGTCAAATCCAGAATCACTTATGGCACGAAGTTCAAAGTATAGATGTGGTAGATTGCAAACCTCATTTTCTAGAAAATGAAGCTTCAAATGTTGAAGATAAAGATAGCCTGCTGTCAAAGGAGGACTGTGATCTGGCTCTTGCTTTTACCATTCTTCTAATACATTACATGTTGTCTTCATATTGTATCAAATGTTCAAGCCATTTGAAGACTTCTGCACCACCATGCCAGCTTCAGCTTTAGCCCACACATTAAACAGTAACATATTTCCAAAACTGAAATTAGCTCCAAGATGAAAGCTCATATAGCATTTTCACCAGAATATTGATATAAATCATAAACATAATTTATCCTCAAGTAAGAAGGAAAAGTAACTTTTAGCTTATTTCATGCTGAAGAAAATCCCAGGAAACCTGTACAAGTTGATACAAGTACAAATATTGGCCCAACGCTAATGCGATATTGACATGAAAACAAAATTTATTATTTCCAGTCGAAAAATCCAGGAGTTTTATATCACGGAACCTTATCCATCATCCATTACTAGTTTCTGAACCAACAAGAGGATATGGCACTTTTAGCACTAGACTTTCAGCATTTTGGCACTTCACTCAGTCAATTTACATGTTCAGTATTAAGCGCCTAGATTTTTGACAAAAATTAGTTGCATTTGATGCACTAAAACTGACGCCATCCCCTTATTTTCTTGATAGTAAAGAAAGTTATGTTACCAAAAAAAAGACATTGTATCGTACAACTCAAGGCATGCTCACCAGTAAACGAGCTCTCGAGGAGTGAACATCCAGTAAGATCATAAGATAAAAGCACTGACAATGAACTTTAACAATACTCCATCATCCTTGAGCATACGAATCACAAAGCAACTTTTCCAACAAAAATAGGTGATTAAACTGATATTGGCTATAGATAGTACAAAATTTACATATGTGAGTGTATGCCATTTCACAATTTCAATTTTGAGCACATATTATTAGAGAATTACATGCAACACCTCCTTACTGTTCTTCCCTCAACTTCGATTCACCGTTACAAGACACTAATATGTCTAATTTTATGTCCGAAGAGCTCTTAAGGAATAGGCTTTTCCCAAATCTGTAAAACAAGGATCAATAAGAATTATCACCAGCAACAACTGTCTAATCCAAATTGACTTTAGACCTCAGACAAGAATGCCACAAAATATGTAAAGGAGACCATATGTCCATATCAGCCAATTTCTGCATAAGTACACCAGCTAGAAACACATAAACCAATGACAGTATTTATTTCAATGGGCTCAGTGTCTTGAAATCCTCATAAAAAGCACGCCTTCATTCGAGTACTAAGACACACAAGAAAACATCCATTTCATCTTATACAAGAGCAGACTTGATAACATTGCTATCTTCCTAAACGGCTAAACAATGTGTGAAATTTTGGCTAGAACATAATCTAGTACATTGTGACCTGACCGCTCACATCTTCGAGGGTTTGGGGAAAATATCTGGTGTAAATTTTTGGGCCGCACTTAAGCTCCCTTTTATCTTCATAGCACCCCTGCATCCATCCAACACATCTAAATCGAAATTATAATTTTCATTCACCAAAACACATCAATTCAGCCAAATTACAAATTGAAGTAGAAAACGAACTAAAAAGGCACCTCATGAATGCAATTTGAGGATTCATCTTCCCAGAGGCAACCTTAAGAAAATCATCGTCAGTAAACGAAAAGGTAGCATCAGGCTTCCCATCCTCGTATGGCCCTAGAAAAAAGCCAGTAGATGGAAGTATTAAATCTTGATGATTTAATTTGAGGCTATATTCCAGATTTCCTGATAAATTACTGTTGATATACTTGAAATTAAGCCGAAAAAACTGAAATAGTGAAGTGTTTCTAGAACCCTAACCTTCCTTAACTTCCCCTTTCTTCAGATCAACAACAAAAGACTTCTCGTTAAATCCAATTTTCTGCCAATTACGAAAAACACAATACATAATTACAAGAATTTCATAAATATCAACACAAATAATCGAATAATGATTTAATAAAAACAAAACCTTGGGGGCTATGTTGATCTGATAAACCAAGCCAATTTTTTCAACAAGCTTTTTGCCTGCGTCAGTTGACATATGGAGTTTCATTTGCTCCATGAGGGCTTCGGATTTCAACTGAGTGGAGTTTGCCATGCCTTATTTCTTGGTAAATTCCACAACCTTGCTTCAATAATCTACTGATATACCAGGTTTTGGGAGCTTATAATTAAAGGGAGAGCGTCGGGGTGGGGGTGGAGTATGGTGTTGAAAGGAAGACTATTAACTGCTAGCGATAAAGCACGCAAACCAACAATTTCTGGTAAGAGCATGCTACTCGTACCGACGCCGTCACAATGGGAAGGGGAGTGGGGGGATCCACGATTCTTTTATTAATGGTGGGCCTTCCCTTCTTGTGAGGGATCGGTACACGGGTACATTTCGGTGTACAAGTCTCAAAATTCTTTCTGATATTTCTTATCTAATTGTGCTACTCGTACAGGGATGTTGACAATTTTTTCATAGGGTGATATGCATTTAAGAAAAAAAACATAAATTGAGAACTTGAAAAAGACAAATAAACACATTTCTCACGCATTTTTCCCCAAAATCGTACACTAGAAAGCCACTGCCGTTTCGCCGACACACAGCCTCACCACCTTCAGCCGGCGTCAACCCATTGAAGAAGAAATCAACCCCAATCTATTTACGCCTAAAACAGAGACCGAGTTTTGAAAACATCTCCGTTAAAGTTGGTCCGAATTTGTAGATCAACGAAGATGTTGTGAGCTGCAAACTTCTGGCTATCGTGAAGTCTAAACAATAATCATCATCTGCCTATGAACACGTCATTTATACGCGTCGCTTGAGAGTAAACAAATGTTGTGGTTGTTGCTATATTTTTTGTAATGGTTTTATATTTGTGTTCAACGAAATGAATTCTTCGCCTCCGTTGATGACATTTTTTTGATTTCGACATGGATTTGTTTTTGTTATCATGCATGCATGCAATTTTGTAAGGGTTTTTACGGTTGCTATTGTTTTCGACGTGTTGTCTACAAGTCACCAATTTGAGCTTTATATTTGGAGTTTAAGAATGTTGGTGAGAATTATACTACCATTTTTGGGTTTTTCCTTGCTGGCATCCAATTTGAGCTTTGTATTTTTGGGTGTTTACTTACTGGCATCTAATTTGGTGAGAATTATACCAATTTGAACTTTTGGATTTTGCTTGCTTGCTTAATCTGTGCCACAATGGGAAAGATTTTGACATTCTTTTTTATGGTTTAATTATATGTTATAATGGTTGGGAAGAATTCTTGAATTTGACATAGTTGTAGAGGCGAAGAGCACTTCGTCGCTGAATACCCAATTAAACAACAATGACCATTGTGTAAGAATGGATTTTAGAAGTGTTTTGAAGTCGAAAAGCCGCCTGTTAATAAAGAGTGATTATTCACATGTTGTAGTAATAAATGCAGCTATTGGAACTGGGTCGTAGAAGGACAGTTAAACGGTAAATCTAGTAACCCTAGCTCTACCTTGGTTACACCTGCGACGAAGGAAACAGTTGAAGATATGTTCCACAGGGTCGAATATCAGGTTCAGCTAACTGAAGAAGCAGACTTTGAGATATCTTTGAACGTGACGATCCACAGGGGAAAAGGTAGCGCAGAAAGGATCACAAAAGGAAAGGGGTCGGCTTGATTTGTAGTTAATTCGTTGAACGTGTTACGTAATAACTTAACTAAGGGTTTTATTTATTTATTTATTTATATGTTTTTTGTATCAGCCAAATATGTAGTTGCTAGCATATTATGGATGAAAACAATGTCACTTTTATCATTTTCTTATGCTAATGTCAGTTTGTTGTTGTTGATGATTCCATTTGATTAGTTTTTTCGATAATGAATTTGGGGATGGAACTACACCCACTTGCCAACACAATGCCATATATTCAAGATCTTCTTCCACACCATAACAGGTTCATTGAAAGACAGTGCAAGCAAAATGTATATAACACTGGAAACTGAACCAACATCAAACCTAATAGGAATTACATCAAAATGGCTTAATCACTTACAATAGATAATGTCAAAATATATGTTCAGCAAAATAAATTGTTTTCCAGCTTTTGAAATCTAGTATAAAAATGGTATTTCAAAATGATACAATGGAAGCTTCAAAATAACAGGAGCACTGCCTCAACTGAATTTATGGAAGCTTTGTAATATCAACCACACGACTTCAATCCTGTTAACATTCAAATGGGTGATGTCTCCGTTGCGAAGCTGCAAATCAGTGAAATAGATACATAAGCAACCAACTTTGTAATGCTTGTTTCTATCCAAAACAAGGGCAGGGTATCTATGATCGAAGCAATAAAATAGCCACTGCATGGACATGTCATAATTTTTTGCTAACAACTGGGAAACAAGAGTGAATGAAATTACGCTACAGTTGAACTAGAAATGAATCATTACAAACAATAATTTTCAATTTAGGGCACATATCAAGTGGATATAGAGCATCTAAATTGATTTGAAATAAACAAGAGTTACTTACTGCCTCAACTGCATGGGTTGTCCGTCAAACATAAAAAAAACATTTGCCACCTTGATTCGACAAATGTTGATAGTAATACGGGAAAACATGACCTAGAATACAAATTGAACTTTCATAAATGCATATATGAAACTATTCAAATGAATTATAAATATCTAATCAATGTTAGCCTACCTTGCGAATTGTATCCGACATTTGTTGACGACGATATCAAATTGGAAGATTGTGAGTGTTGTGCATGATAATGGTGTTGGCATGCCATGTTGTGGTACTGGGAATGGCAACGGAAGTGAAAATTGTGAAAATGTGATTTGTGGAGACATGTAATATTGTTGTTCTACAGATATTGGCTGAGGTTCGGGTGCACCCACACACATATTACTATGCTTTGATATCGGTCTTTTTCGTTTAATTGAAATCGAACTTGCCTGCATGTCTATCATAATAAATGAGAATTTATGTATACAATAATTCTCAATTTATTTGCAAACTTTCAATACACTTGTAGTTTTGAAGTTGACTCTAAGGGTCCTTTTTGCTGATTTTTTTGTGTGCCCTTTCTTCAGAATGATGTCAGATCCAATAAATTCTAGCTCGTAGTATTTTGTGAATCATTACATATAGTGACTAACTGATTATTTTGATGCGAAATAATATTACTTCCTTAAATCGACTTCATTAACGCTGGCTCCTTAGATTATAGTCCAATCCATTCCATTATGGCACGGGTTGGAACTTCGTCATCTGCAGAAAGGTTTGCCACCATGGCAAAAGCTTGGCACATACTGTTGTATCTCAACCATCTAGGAGAAATAACCAACCCGTCATAGTTGACTGCGACCCTCGAATGTGCTCAACTAACATCTCTTTTCCATCGTTGCAAAATGTACCATTTGGGAAGTGATGTTGTGTCATTATGGATCAATACAGTGATGGCATTGTTGTCGATTTTATCTCGCAAGTGTACGGATCGTAACAAGTAGTAAAGTAGACCTAAGAGTTCGGGTTGTCGATCCCACGAGAATTATACTTTAGCACTTAATTCAATTTTCTTTAACCATTATTTGATGAAAATAAATAAAAAAGATGATCGATTGTGATTTTTGATCTAAATACTTAAAATGAGGATGGATGCAACAAAAAGTGATTTAGAATTCAAATAATTAATGAATGTTAGGGCGGAACAACTTCACCTATTGGTCACATTTACTTCTAATATCGAGATTTATAAAATTTAAAGTAGTGTTCGGTCAAATTCTATTATTGTATTCAATTTAACTCTCTCGAGTTCTCATTAAACCTATTTAACTATTTCAATTTTATATTTCTATGCGAATCAAACTTAGTTAAACGCGCTAATAGTTCTAAGAATTCATTTATGACCGCAACAATTAATAGAGGTATCTCTGCGCGTTATATTAATTTACCGGATTATAATCTATGGTCTAAACAAGAATCCGCAGTTCTACGGAATTATTATTCACGAAATCATTGAATAATTGGTCAGAAAATTCAAAGCATTGAGAACATGATTAAAATCTATACATATAATCATAACGAACAAGAATCTCGATAAAAGAAATAAAGGGTCCCAAATAGGTTACATTGTTTGCCCTAAAATTAGATTTAGCTACTCATAGTAATGAAAGAAAAATAAGAAGTTATTATGGAAGACATCATCAGGTTTTGAATCAGAATATAGAATAAGAAATTAATCTTGCACCAAAATCTTCTTCCTCTTCCAATTTATGCTTCAACACTTGAAATGCTTTTTGTTTTTCTCTTTTGAATTATTCTCTTTAATCTCCAAATGTGTCTTTTGCATCTCAATGTATGAATCTCCCTTCAAAGTGTGAAATAATTGTATTTATATGTGTCTTGCCGTGTGTAGAAAATAGGGTTTTCATGGACTTCAAAAAGGGCAAAAAATGGGCCCTAGATGCACACAGGCGGCGACGCAGCGCCATGGCTTTGTTTTGGTGGCGCCGTGGGTGAAAAGTTCTGGCTGCGCTTCCTTCGATATTTTTATCATAATTTTTTTGTCCTGATGTTCGATTGAGGTGATTCAAGATGCATTAGAAATCAAAGGGCTACAACTTTCATTCATACATCATTTTCAAATTTGATCATTTACTATGTCAAAAATGGGTCTCAATATGAGGCTGAAACCGATGCATAATTTTTTTCGGTTGGAAATTGATATGTGATCATACTTTGATTATGTTTCATCCATTTGATGCCTTTTTTTATCCAATTGACTCTGAGCATTCTTGAATCTTCATCATGAGGTTCGACACAATATTTAAGAATTTGCATTTTAGTCCTTAAACTTCGAATTTCTTACAACTTAGCCATTTTCTCCAATTTTGCCTACTTTTGCTTCTTCCAATTTCTTGTACCATCATTTATTTTTACCTATTCAACTCTAATTGCAACAATTTAGACCATAATTCATTCGAGAAACAACTACATATCATCGTTTTTAAACCTTGAATAACTGTATAAAATATGCTTATCAGGCATGCCCACATATTATTCCTCTAAACTCAAACAAGTGGCCGTTGCAACTAATTTCACAGTATTTTCTTCAAAATGTGACTACGAACGATTTCTTCTTCTGACTCTGTTTATATATAACATCCTCCCGTATGTCATATTTCGTCCCCAAAATTCCTTCTGAAGAAGATATGAGATCGCAGTAAACCTTTCCTGTGAACTCATCTTGAACTTTTCTAAATTCTAAAATGGTGTATACTAATTGACATTGCTTGTTCATGTCATAAGCTGTTGCACACGGTATCATTTGTGAAAATGATTTAAAATCAAACCAGAACTCCTTCTCAACCTTATTTCGTAGTGTCCGTTCATATTGTT